AACAAGGAACAAAAACAAGTAACTGTCATCTCAGTGCAGCTGGGTGCGTCCCGCCCCCCTCCTGTCCTACCGTCAGAGCAGCATGAGAATCTGGCATTTGTCTGCCAAGGACAGCCTTGACTGTTTCTATTACTGGGCAAGGTGACGAGTGACGCAACTATCAGGTGAGTCGCCACCATGCACCCTGCTATTTGTGGCGCAAGCTTAACCCCTACCTTGCTGGAATTAAATAGCTGCCAAATAATGAAATAACCTTTTCCATTTAAAAAAAAAAACAACAGGTATTTTGTGAAAAGTTTTGAAAAAAGCGTATCTGCTACAGGGCTAAGTTTAGTTTGGCAGAACCTTAAGAAAAAAAATTGGATCCATTTTTAAAAAAAATCATGCTGCCTTTTATGTGTAATCAGCATTCTTTTTTTTGCTCTTTATGAATGCAGAAAGCTGCACTTTTTCTCTTTCTGAAGAGATGAATTTTCAAGGATCACCTAAAGGCAGACAGAGTAGGAGATAGACAGATTGGGGTAGGGAGTTCCAGAGGATATGAGAGGTTCCTGGGAAGTCTGGGATGCAAGCATGGAATGGGAAGACAAAGGAGCTAGAGGGCAGGAGGTCTTGGGAGGAGTGAAGAGGATGATTTGGGTGATATATTGAGATACGGTTAGTGATGCAGCTTGGGGCAGACTTGTTGATGGCTCTATATGTTGTTGTTCATTTCTTGAATTCTATATGTAGAGCAAGCAGGGCCAATGGAGGGATTTGCAGAGAAGAGTGGCTTGCAATGAGTGGTTGGTAAGGTGGCTGAGTCTGGCAGCAGCATACTGTATATGATGGACTAAAGAGGGGATAGAATTTGTAAAGGTAAGCCCAGGGGCGGACTGACCATTTGGAAACTCGGGCACTACCTGAGGGCCCGGGGTCAGTAGGGGTGCCCCATGAGATGCCCCTGGTACCTTTTTCATAGGCTTTTTTGAGTTTGGGCAAGGACACAGGGGCCCCATGATTCCCTATTGCCTGGGGGCCCCATGAGTTGTCAGTCCACCCCCGGGTAAGCCAAGAAGGGAGTTGTTGATGGTTAAGAAGAGACATACTTTGGAAATGTTACCAAAGGTGAAGGCAGCAATATTTCAACAGTCATTGAGTTTGGGGCTGAAAGAAGAGCTCAGAGTTAAGCTGGCTATAAACTAGAAGATTAAAAATTAAAATTCGGCCAGTTAAGCAGGAACTGGTCGAATATCATTCCGTGTGTTGTCATGTCCGTTCAACCAAAGTTTATCATTAGACTTTTAGGCAATTTTAACTACTTTGACCATGAACATATGATTGGGGTTAGATTCACACTATTGCGACCTGCGTTTTGCATGTAGGCAGCCTATTCATTCATTGAAATGAATGGGCGGCCCTACCCAAAAGAAATGCTGGGAAAGAAGTCCCTGACACTTTTTTAAAAATTGCACCATGCTGAGCAATAATGCAGCAGCAGCATTTGGAATGGTGCATGTAAATGCATGCCAAATTTGGCAATGCATGGGGGTGCCATTAAGAATTAATGGCACTCCCGCAGCTAATGTTTACCTGTGGGTCGGGAATGCATGACATTTTGCATGCATTCTGGATATGAAGTAATGTGAACCTAGCCTTAGATTGAGCGCATAAAACCAACAGTCTACCACCCATAAGATCAACCTCTGGTATTGGATCGATCAAACTGGGCAAATTGACAGCTTCTATATGGTTATTAAAATTAATCCGAACAAAAAAAATCCTGCAGTTTCGCTGGATGTGATCTGATTTTTTTTCTGGGTTCAGTCATGGCAATATCAATTTCATCTCCTTTCAGTCGAACAAAAGCACTAATTTCCATGTTTTCCCATCTGGGTTTTTGTTTCCAGTTCAGTTGATAGTGGTTAAAATTGCTGGAAAGTTGCCACATGCTTGGCCAAATTAAGAGTGCCCATAGATGAGTAGCCACCAGGGGCGGACTGACCATTTGGAAACTCGGGCACTGCCTGAGGGCCCCGGGTCAGTAGGGGGCCCCATGAGATGCCCCTGGTACCTTTTTTTTTCATAGGCTTTTTTGAGTGTGGGCAAGGACACAGAGGCCCCATGATCCCCTATTGCCCGGGGGCCCCATGAGTTGTCAGTCCACCCCTGATAGCCACCATGACTGTTCCTAGCCTGTGACCTAGCAAGTATTGAAGCCAGAGATATTCAAGCAATCAGAATATTTAGAAGGAGGCAGCCAATGGCAGCCTCCATATTTCCATTTACTTCCTCCATATTTTTTTGAAGTGGAACAAATATGTAATAAATTGCAACCTACCAGTCCTCAGATGTGGTGACCTCTTTAGTTTTGTTTTTTTCCCTTTATTTTTTCCACTTGATCCTTCCTGTAACACACATTATGTCCTAGGTTGACAATGCCCACTCTCCTGTATCTATGGAGGAGAAGCATTGTCTTCCTGAGACAGGAATAAGTTTGGGGCTACAAGCAGCTCCCCCTTCTTAAAGTGTATGTAAACCCTCACCTTGTAAAACAGCCCATTCAGTTTAAAATAGACATGAAAGGCAAAACATTTGTATCTATGGAGGAGAAGCATTGTCTTCCTGAGACAGGAATACGTTTGGGGCTACAAAGCACCTCCCCTTCTCAAAGTGTATGTAAACCCTCACCTTGTAAAACAACCCATTCAGTTTAAAATAGACATGAAAGCCAAAACATTTGTGTATACTGTACGTATGAAAAAAATAAAAAATATTTTTTCCTCTTTTTAGTGGGTTACATTCCCTCTGTTTTCAGCTGCACAATAGCTGGTAGAGGAGAAACAGCAGTACACGGATCTTCTTAGTGAATGGCTGTGCCAGGAAGGGGGGGCAGGACAAATCTGACCATTGGTGGAGAGCACACCGAGTTCCCAGCACAGATAGAGAATGGACCATGCTGTGCTCTCCTGCCTAGCGTGGTCAGTATTTAATAGGAAAGAAGAGGGGCTGGCAGGAGCACCATGAAACAATGCAAAGAGAACAGGATACTTTTTCATACAAGTACATAGTACAGCAGTCACATATCAGGAGTATGAAGTGGTGGGTTTACATATTCTTTAATACCATGGTGGGAGGTGTTCTATAGTCCTAGGAAACTTCCTGGTAAGGCTGTTTGAGATTCTGGCAGGACCAGGGGCGGACTGACCATTTGGAAACTCGGGCACTGCCCGAGGGCCCGGGTTCAGTAGGGGGTCAAAATATGATCCAAACAACATACGAGTCCATACGGTGGAACCCTGGATGACCATTGGTTGGTCATCCAGGGTTCCATCATATGGACTCAGATGTTGTTTGGATCATACATCTTGTTCAGTTTGACATGCCTGTGATATTATGTCCATTGTGAGTATGATACCTATTTTGTTTCTTCAATAAATTATTTTAAACGATAATGCACTAGGTCGGTGCGCCCTTTTTCTGTTTCTCCATTTGTATCCAGTGTATTTGGACCACCCCGGTCTGTTGAGGGCAGCAAGCAGTGCATATTCCAGAAAATTCCAGAACATTCCTATTGGGTCTACTGAGTCCTTTCCTAGCGCAGGAGTAAAGTGTTTGTTGTGTTCAGTAGGGGGCCCCATGAGATGCCCCTGGTACCTTTTTCATAGGCTCTTTTGAGTTTGGGCAAGGACACAGGGGACCTATGATCTCTTATTGCCGGGGGCCCCATGAGTTGAGCAGGATCAATGGGTATTTTTTGGCACTGAAGATATAACAAAGCACGTCAAATTATATATTTAACAGACCAAAGAGAGAAAATAAGAACAGTTGATTGTTAGGGTTTGCTAACACTTTAAAATGAAGATGTAAATATCACTGTCTTCTGCAAAGCATTCATGTTGTACACATAGGGGTCTAGTTATAAGTGTTTTCACCCAAAAAATCTACAGTGTCACCCATTTTTTAACTGAAAGATATCTTAAATGGGTGAATCTTGGGTGATAAGGGTTGTGTGAATCATGGGTGAAAACATTGATACATAGAACCTAGTGTAATCCTTCAGCTATGGTAAAGTCCTGATTGTAATTGTATTAACTGACAGTTATTTACAGGAAACCAGAATAATTCAGAGCTGACAAGCACAGCTGTCATTTCCAAGACATCCTCCAGCCATGGCGATCCCATCTGTCACTTGCTTCCTGCTGATCATATCATTTTCTAGTAAGTAGACTAAAATGTACTGAACATATGGTACACATCCATTTTATGAAGCCTGAAATATCTTTTTTTTAAAGCGTCACACTACCCCAAACATTTAATTTTTGTTTTGAGTGGAGGCCAGCTTTGATCCCCTACTAGTTCTTCAGTGAATTGTCCCCAAACCCATATCATGACTCTAACAACCAAATTCCTGCTCCCCCTCTGCATTTGTTAATGGGTTACGCCGACCATACACAAGTCGAATTCCGAAATAATTTTCTTTCAAAAACCTTTTCTAAAAATTTTCGTTCAAATTTAACACTGTTAGTGGGTCACATAAACGAACAATTTTTGTGTGACCATCGAATGTGTGTGATCGGGCATGTTGGAAATTTTTTAAAAAACGAACAAATTTCGAATCAATGATAGGAGAATCGTGCGGGAAATATAAACGAAAAAGAAATTAGCATAAAATAGTGACCTGGAAAGAAAAGAAAATTCTTGGTCGTGAACTTTCTTTTCTGTAGCAAGATGAGGTGAAATTGAAGGCTTGGTTGGTTGAATTTTGAAATCAATGGTGGCACCATCAGGGTACAAAATGCACAAAATTTCAGATTTTCTAAAGAAAAATTTGTTTGGAATTCGACCCATGTATGGCCTGCATTGGTTCAGCTTTTTAAGAAAATTGCCTATGCAGTTGAGGGCCACAGGTGCATAAAAATAATTGTGCAACTTTGAAAAATGTTGATTAACCGCCTCCCGCCCGCCATAAAAGGAAATGACAGGCGCAAGGTGGTTCTCTCGTTTTGGGACATCATCATATGACGTCCTCCCACTCTAACCACGCATGCGGAGCTCCGGGGGCATGCAGCATGGCGATCGGTGGTGTGCTGTGTCCCTTGCAATCAACGGAAAGAGCCGAAGATGTTGGTTCGGTCATGTGATCAGCTGTGTCCAATCACAGCTGATCACATGTAAATAAGGAAATGTCGGTTATCGGCATTTCTCTCCTCACGAGCTGTCACGCTGACAGCTTGAGAGGAGAGGAGAGCCAGTAATCGGCATCCCTCAGAGGGGACATGTACACTGATCATCAGGGCACTGATGATCAGTATAGCCCCAGCAGTGCCACCTATCAGTGTCCATCAATGCCAGCTGTTAGTGCCCATCAATGCCACCTGCCAGTGCCCAACAATGCCACATATTAGTGCCTACCAGTGTACATCAATGCCACATATCAGTGCCCATCTGAGCTGCATTTCAGTGCCACCTATCAGTGCCAGTCAGTGCCACCTATCAGTGCTGCCAGTGTCGCCCTATCAGTCCCAGTCAGTGCCGCCTATCAGTGCCACCTAACAGTGCCAGTCAGTGCCACCTATCAGTGCCATATATGAGTGTTGCCTTTCAGTGCCCATCAGTGATGGCTGTCAGGGCCCATCAGTGCCACCTACCAGTGCCTCCTCATCAGTGCCCATCAGTGCCGCCTATCAGTGCTCATCAGTGCCTCCTCATCAGTGCCCATCAGTGCCACCTATCAGTGCCCATCAGTGCAGCCTCATTAGCGCACATCAGTGGAGAAAAATCACTTATTTACTAAATTTTATAATAAAAACTAAGGAAAACGTTTTTTTTTTTTCAAAATTTTCAGTTGTTTTTGGTTTGTTTAACAAAAAATAAAAAACCCAGAGGTGATTAAATACTACCAAAAGAAAGCTCTGTCTCCAAAAAATTATGAAAATGTCATAGGAGTACAGTGCTGCATGACCGCACAATTGTCATTCAAAGTGCAACAGCGCTGAAAGCTGAAAACTGACCTGGGCAGGAAGGGGGTATAAGTGCCAAGTAGGCTAGCGGTTAAACACGTGCTATTGGGGGCATTTTATATATTATCACACACATGTTAAAATCATCATTTTGTTTACTAGAAAAAATACTTAGAACCTTTAAGCATTATATAAATTCTATAAGTAGAGGCCCTGGAGAATAAAATGGTGGCTGCTGGGATTTTTTTATGCCATACAATATTTGCACAATGTTCAGTAAAAATACACTAAAATGAATTTTAGAGCACAGAAACACAACATAATACTTATTTTGGTAAAATATGAAAGATGATGTTGCATGGAGTAAATAGACACCAAACGTGTCAAGACCAGGGGCGGACTGACCATTTGGGAACTCGGGCACTGCCCGAGAGCCCGGGGTCAGGAGGGGGCCCCATGAGATACTCCTGGTACATTTCATTAGCATTAGAGTACCCTTTAAATAAGGGGGCATCCTGATGCTGCCCCCCCCCCTCGTGAATAAGTAAGGCATACTTGTCCCTACCCATTCACTAAAGGGTTACTTTGAGTAAAAAATAAAGAGACCAGTCTTTTGAAAAAATCCTTTATTGAACAAAAAAGCAAAATAAGGCCGAAATGTGAACTCCGCGATCAGCAAATGTTGTCTTGAATCTTGAAACCTTTTGTATTTCTTCCAGATCTGTGCAGTAATTCAGTGCTAAACTTTACTTCTGTGCAGGCACTTCCTGTAATAAAGACTGGCCACTGCTGCTCTCTCTTTGTGTACGGTGACTGGTCTTGTATCCACCCCCTCCTATAGTTTTCTGCAGGCAGAATTTGACAGTCACACTCAGGGGTGGACTGACAACTCATGGGGCCCCACACTCATGCCCACACTCAAAAAAGCCTATAAAAAGGTACCAGGGGCATTTCATGGGGCTCCCTACTGACCCCAGGCCCTCGGGCAGTGCCCGTGTGCTGGAATGGTCAGTCCGCCCCTGGTCACACTCAGAACAAGCATGAAAATGAGTGTCAGAATTCCTTGCTTTTATACATATTCTAAAGAATTTTTTAACATGTCTGACTGTTCTGCCCCACTTTTACATAATTTTTCTGTGTTGTATTGAAACTGCATCAGGTTATTATTGCTTTGATGTAGCAATCATGTTTACTGCTAGTTAGTTCAGTTCTTCTATGCTCCTTCAATCAGTGTTTGCAATTTGCAGACACGGGGCTTAGGAAAGTCATTGTCTTCTTACACTTCAAAAGACTAAAAAGACATCCTCTGTACTGTAATTAGCTGAAGTAAAATTGTGTTGGATTCAACTTCTGTGGCTTATTGAAGAGTTAAGCTGCCTGTGGATGATGCCAAGTCAGCAGGTGACCAGACGATCCTTAGAGACTGGGTCTAAGGTGGTATGTCAATGTATTTGGCAGAGGCATTTGAAACAGAACAATGACCTCCAATAACCAGTTTTAACTTTTCCCTTATTCTCTTTCCTCTTCTGGCCACTTCTGGGTATATGTGGCTGAATCCAGGAAGAGAACTATAGGGGCAGCAGGGGATGTTGATAGAAGTCAGAAGACTCTTTACAGCTCAAGGAAACCATCAATTATTATGCAGAAAAATAGCCAGAAATAGTTTTTTCTGTAAAATTGGGTATTTTATTGTTTGGTGTTGTTCTTAATTAACATTCTATATATAATAAATCTAAATTTTTTTGCATTAAAGGCTCCTCTCAGTTGACAGTTAACCAACATAAACATATTTCAGTTGCTGAAGGAAATTCAGCCACTCTGGGCTGCTTTGTGGAAGGCGAAGAGATTTGGCATTTAAGCATTCAGTGGTTTAAACAGCTGCCTGGGACTCCACCCACTTATATCCTCCACCATGCCAATGACACCACCATCCACTGGGGTGACACCACCTTTAATCGCTACCAGCCAATCAGAAACAACAGCAACATTCACTTTCTGCACATCGCTAACGTCTCCACAAATGACAGTGCTCTGTACTGGTGCTTGCTGACTAAGAGTTTCCTATTATCACGTCTGGGGAGATGGGACGCACCTCAGCGTTTATGGTGGTAAGTCAAAAGAAATTGTTAAAATTTTCTTACAAGGCAGCTCCACCAAAAATTATTTCAGCAATGACTTGCTTCAATGTGTTGAATGTCCTTCAGATATATTATGTCGTTGGAAGAGTCCAGTGATAGGAACTCCCATAATGCTTTGTGTTTAGCTCCCTATCAAAAGGCCCTACTGATTGTTTATTCTGCCGAAAATGACCCCCCCCCCCCAAAAGGAATTTTTATTGTTTAACTGTTTCTGCGCTGCCCTATAGCACGAGTGTGCAAAATCACACACATATACAGTATATATATATAATTTTTTTTATTAGGCCATTCATGGCCTCTTCTGTCAATCACCAGGTCCCGGCCAGTGATTTCTCACCGGCACCTGGTGATCGCCGAGTATCTCTGACGGGGGAGAGACCTGTGTATAAACAACACAGATCTCTCCCCATCAGCTCAAGCACACTGCTTTATATGGCTCTGTATAGCAGAGCCATAAAAAGCAGTGTGCTTACAGTGGAAAGCATAAACACAGCATACCGTGAAACAGCACACAGTTAACCCTTTGATCACCCCATATGTTAACCCCTTCCTGCCCAGTGCCATTAGTACAGTGTCAATGTTTTTTATTAGCACTGATCACTGTATTGGTGTCACTGGGGATGTCAGTGACACCAAGTCAGTTCCCCCCAGTGTCAGAATGCCCACCGCAGTCCCACAGTCCTGCTATAAGTCGCTGATTGTGCCATTTATAGTTACAAAATAATTCCAGTATATATACCGCCATTTGTAAACGCTATAGCTTTCACGTAAACAAATTCATTTACACGTATTGTGATTTTATTTAGCAGAGACATGTAGCAGAATATATTTTGGCCTAAATTTATGACACAATTTGATTTTTAAAATTCTTTACTGGACATGTTTAATAGCAAAAAGTCAAAAATATTGTTTTTTTCTCAAAAATTCTCAGTATTTGTTTGTTTATAACACAAAAAAATAAAAAATGCACTGGTGATCAAATACCACTGAAGGAAAGCTCTATTTGTGGGAAAAAAAGGACGTAAATTTCATTTGGGTGCAGCGTTGCATGACCACGCAATTGTCAGTTAAAGTAGCACAGCTCTGTATCACAAAAAATGGCCTGGCCAGGAAGGGGGGGTAAATCCTCAGAATGGCAAGTGGTTAAAATGGACAGTACAGTAAATTTTTCTTACATTTTCTTTATTATGTTATGGACTAAAAATTATTACAAAAGAGTTTAAATTTCTTTTTACTCAGGTAAACATTTAATGCATTTGCATAATAAATGCAATATTCGATGTGGCCCATCTGTGGCTAACATGGGACATATTGTAATGAAGAGCAGATGTGACCAGATATCTGCTCAGAAAACACCTGACTGAAAACTAAGTGACAATCAATGTGATTTGTTAGGGAAACAGCACAAGTGGCAAGTAATATAAACACAGCAATCAATACAACCATCCGCATACACCAAAAAATGCAAAAACCCAGTGAGCCTATTTAAAAGTGAACCTAACCAGTGAAAGTGAACCAGCTAAAGTGCACTTCCCTCTTAGGAGAGCTGAGTTTTTTGAGCCCTCCTATAGTCCTGCACAGCCAGGCAACACGCATTTTCTTCAGACCTTGCACACAGGACACAGTAAACAGGCCTTGAGCTTGTTGCTAGGTTTTTATTAGGGGTATTGAACTTAGATAATGTTGAGGAGTGCATGGGATGCCCAAGGGAACTGTAACTGAGGGCAACTCCTGAATAACTATGTACAAGTCTCTATAACAGATCTCTTCTTGGAGAGCTCTCCAGCCTCTCCTGATGTACCAACCCAGACCTTTGATGAATCCTCTTCTCATCCAGCGGCACTGAGGGAATCCTTCAGCAAGGGGTCCCAGATGCACTTTAAATGCACAGTCCCGGAAGGGGGCTATTCAGGTTTTCCATCAGAATGCTCTCTCCTCTTATCTGGCCCAAGAGGTGTAGGATTACACACTCTTCCTCACCTTCAGGTCTCCTGCTGGGCTGGCTCCTTCCCTGACTGTACACCGGTCTCTCTGGAGATTGGTGAAGTCAAGTGATCCTACTTTCCAGCTCCTGCCTGGAGGTAGGTCCCTTCCCACTGGGCCCCCTCCCAGGCTCCGACATCCAGCCTCTCACTCCATCTTCTACCCATAGTCTCCTTCTGCTGAGCAGGCTCAGTCATACTTAAGGGCTGTCCCGACCCCGTGCCAAACCTCCTGCCTGGGGGTTTATCAGGATCCCTTAAGTATGAAGATCAGCCCCTTCTCACCCCCACCCACTGCCTTCTAGAAACTTCTCAAGTCTCTAGAGCAGGGGAAGTATCAGGGAACTGACCTGCAGAGTCCTCAGCCCTGATCTAAGATGACCTGGCTGACTCATGCCCAGGCAGAGTAGTCAGCCTTCCTCTCTAGAAAACCTAGCTAGCTCCTCCTAGCTAACTAGAGGAGCACTACGAAAGCAAACATGAGCACACCTACCTAAACTAATTAACTTAGCTATGTACATACAGCAGGATAAATAGGGCAGAGCAGGATCAGACTGGGGAGAAAGGAATAGTAAGGTCAGGAAAGAGAAGGAACTGGGAGAAGGTACATGGGAACAAGTATAAGCAGGCAGGATCATGATCGCCATAAGGCTCTCACCTGGCTACTCTCGAACATATGACAAAGTACACCGAAAATGCGCTGCAAGTGCACATCACGGGCCTTTCATTTGTTAATGACACCCCAAGCAGCAGCAGGTGCACATTTGCCACGTGTTTTATCATAAATGAGTCAAAACACACAGTGAAAAAAATGTGATAATGCTCCACTCCAAAAAGGTTTTGGAGCATCTTTGGGTCATTTGTCATGTGTAGGACAACAAATTCAAACTAGAAAAGCTACAATTTCTGGGGAAATTGTGTGAAGTGTTCTTGCCTCCACCAGTAGTATACAACTGGAGTGGGCGGAGTAACTGGGTGGAGTGGCAAGGTCAGAGAAGAGCGGTTAAAAACAAACTGCTCCAACTTGCTCACTTCACTGGCGGTTGCCATCTTCAAACGGTTGTAGTTTAAAAATTGTAAATCCTACACCGAAGAGCTTTATATTGTGAGAATCACAAGACCCAGAGATACATTTTGATGCATAGTATGTCTCTGAAATATTAAACATGAAGGCACAGTCTCAGTTTAGAAATTGCCCTTCAAATTTGAGGTGGCTAGAATGGAGTTTCAATTAATGTCAATGGGCGGAGTGAGTTACAAACAAATGGTCATATTGTGAAAACTATCAGAACTATGGCTTAGCCGTGGCAGCAGGGATAGCTGAACGTTTTGATATAAGATTTGTGTAGGTGGGCTTGAAAATGAGGGAGTGAGGGCAGTTTAGAAATCATGTCCTGATTTTTCAGCTCACACTCTAGCTTTTGTCAGCTCCCGCTCTAGTTTTGAACACTCCACCATTCATTCCTATGGGACCAATTTCACCACAAAAACATCGATATTTCGTGAACCATTCGGAGAAACGTTCCACAAAGTAATAGCACACCAATCGGGAACAATCCGCACGTTTCGGTATATTACTGTCTATGTAGTGTAAAAACTGTGGGAGGAGTTAGGGTGGTAAATTTAGCTATAATAATAAGAATATATATGTGAGATAACAGTAAGTGGTCTTGCCATGCAAGAACACGTAATGAATGGGCTGCTCTATGAATGGGGAGCAGAAATGCTCTAAAACGCACAAAAAAAAAACAACGCAACTGGGAATGTTAGATCCAGCTATACTCAGGTGTGAACCCAGCCTAAGAGATCACATGTGCACACTGGAAGAAACCTCAAGTACGGTACTATGGAATGCTGGAGGAGGGGCTAAATACCATCCTAGCAGCTAGCATCAAGTGGGGACTAATTGCTGTGGTCTGATAGCTACTGGGAGACACCAGCTGGTGAACACCGGGACTACACTGTTCAGAGAACAACAGTGCCAGCAGCGGGTGTCAGTTCCTGGCACAGTGGGGGAGATTTACTAAAGCTGGTTCACGCAGAATCTTGTGCACCTGTGCATGGTAGCCAATCAGCTTCTAACCTCAGCTTGTTCATTTAAGCTTTAGTAATAAAACCTGGAAGCTGATTGGTTTCCATGCAGACGTGCAGGAGATTCTGACTGAAGCAGCTTTAGTAAATCCCACTGACTCAGAAAGCACTCAGCTTGAGAAGATTTCCTGTATGCATGCTTGCCATGCTCTGCACTTCCCTGTGCTGTGTGCTGCGTGTTTTACTTTGAGTGCTATACTGTACACTTGCTACTTGACATTATCCCTCTCTATGAACTTTATCTACTTAAAGTGTTACTAAACTCCAGACCCTGCATTCACTATATCTGGTCGCCCACAGTACACAGAACATGGAAATGCAATTATTTTAGTAAATATAAACTGTTAAATACCTTTTCTCATCAGCAGTTAGAGCAGTCTTGTGACTTCTATCAGTGTTCAGCCGAGCACTGGTTAAAGCTTGTAGTAGGAGTTTTTTTTCTGCTCTAGGAGGATGCAATACCTGAGCTCTGTCTGGACAGTGCTGATTAACCCTGTGCTAATCACATGCACTCTGCCAAGGAAAAAAAAAAAACTTTCTAGCAGTACACTAAACTGAGCATGTGCAGAGTGACTCCACACAATATGTCTTATCAGGAGATAAGAGGGGGACATTGGAAGAAGGGAAGGATCAGAGAAGGCAGAATCAAACAGCATTTTTTTTTAAAATGCAAAGGATTAACCCTTTAGGTTCCACAGTGAGTATAACAAACATGCTTTACTGCATATACAGACTGATTTTATTGTTGTGGGTTTAGTAACACTTTAAGGCCACCTCACTCTGACGGCTACACTGTATATTCTTCACTTGATGCTGCCCCTCTCTGTATTCTAGGCTGTACATTCTATATCCCTCAAAACCCTACTCTATATGTTGAACTGTAAATTCTTTATTTCACACTGCCCCTTTATTTTTGCAGGATTGTTCATTATTTCTTCCACCCCACCCCACTGTGTATGCTGTGTTGTACATTGCCAATTACACATGATCCCACTCTGTTGCGCTATACATTCCATAATCCATGCCACCCAACTTTAATATGCAGTGGTTCATATTCCATGCTCCTCACCAAATTACCCTGTATGTTGCACTTTATTCTGTACAGACCTACCCTGTATTGCATATCACTATAATACCCTACATGACTTCTCCATCAAGATCAATAATACAACCATCAGTTCCTCCCCTCATGCCAGGGTACTAGGTGTAATCCTAGACTCCCATCTGTCCTTTCAGCCCCAAATCCAATCACTGTCCGAATCTTGTAGACTTCATCTTGTAGACTTCAAACTACTAAGCAACTTATTCACTCTCTTGTTATCTCTCGCCTTGATTATTGTAACTCCCTCCTCCCAGGGGCGGACTGACCATTTGGGAACTCGGGCACTGCCCGAGGGCCCGGGGTCAGTAGGGGGCCCCATGAGATGCCCCTGGTACCTTTCATAGGCTTTTTTGGGTGTGGTTTGAGTGTGGGTGAGGACACAGGGGCCCCATGATCCCCTATTGCCCGGGGGCCCCATGAGTTGTCAGTCCGCCCCTGCTCCCTCCTCATTGGTCTACCTCATCGCAGGCTATCCCCTCTTCAGTCTATCATGAATGCTGCTGCCAGACTCATCCACCTTACT